GGCAGAGGCACATACAGATTGTAAATTCCATTTGATGGCCAAATGCAAACAGGACGCTGGCAGGAAGAACTGGAAGAAGCAGCAGCAGCCGTCAATGTCGACGATTCTGTCGCGGCGAATGAAAGTTGGCGTCGTTGTCAAAAACGCTCGCGCATTTGGTTGGTTGCCCTGGAAACTTCGGGCCCATCGCCATGTCCAAGTCCTGGCCCATGGCCGTGCATGTGTGAGTGTGTTTGTGGTGGTGTGAGTGTGTGTGTGTGTGTGTGTGTGTGTGAGTGAGTGGGGTGGGGGCATGTATGTAGTTACCATGCGGTTAAAAAGGTATCTCGAAGATACTAAATACTTTATGCATGAATGTGCCAAATAGATTTACGAGAAACGAGAAGCCAGCAGCGGTCGCAGCATCCGCCAGCAACAGCATCAGCGGCAGCATCAGCGGCAGCATCAGCGGCAGCATCAGCGGCAGCATAAGCGGCAGCGCCAGCGACGTCACAAACAGCGGCAGAAGCGGCAGCAACTGTGGCCAGTTGTGGTCGTGTAGGTGCGTGTGTGCATGTGTGCTTCATGGTGGTTGTTTGCAGATGAGATGGAGATGGAGGTGGGTTGGTCATATGTGGGTGTGGGTGTGTGTGTGTGTGTGTGTGTGCCTGTATGTGTATGCGTCGATATTAAATTTAAATTGGCGCTTGGATATTTTAGAGACGACGACGATGGCGACGACGACGACGGCGACGGTCACGATAGCTTGCAATTAAGCTTTATGTCTGCCTTTGCCTCTGTGTATGTGTATGTGTGTACTTGTGTGTGTTTATGCGAAATTATATGCACACAGAGACACATACATATGCATGTATGTATGCCTGGACATGGTTAGTTACTCATGTCTGTGTGTCTGTGTGTTTGTGTGCAGCCTTTATGTGAAGCCTTAAATATTAATAACAGTTACAATTTTTAATGATTAAAAGTTGGCGCGTATGTGTGCGCACACACTCCGCTCTGTGTCTGTGCGTGTGTGTGTGTGTGAGTGTGCTTATCTCTGTGCCTAACAAAAGTACAGTTATACAAATGGCAGTCAAGTTCTGGCAGCTATTCAACTGCGTCAACAATTTATTCATATATACTCGTATAGCCAACGCCAGTCGTGAATTATTTGCTGCCTACTTTTGGGGATGAGAGCCAGAAGGCGTCCTCCACAAACTCTCGGGTCAGTAATACCCGAATCTAACAGAAAGAGTTAATCCTTCTTTGGTATACATACACAATTATAAGAGTATTAATATTTTGGAATTCAAAGGCAATGATTCATCAAACCGACTCATGTAATACTCGTCGTCATTCAATTTTTTTTATTGATTTGGGATAGAGTTTGATTGACTTTCTTTATCTTAAATTGCTTCTCCTTTATTAATTGAGCATGCATTTAGAAATTTAATTCTTAAATTTCTTAAGTAGTACTGTAATATTGCTGACAATTCACTTGTTATCCTTATGCTTTTAGTTTTTATACTCTGTACCCAAATGATGAAAAGGCTTAGATTTTTAACATAAATAAAGAAGCATCAAAGGACCAAAATGAATGCAATTCTTTCCTGTTTTTTCAATCCACATTTTTTAACCCTGAATAAAGTAATTACCGAAGAAATTTTTACAACAGTACCATATTTCAGAAATCTAGAACATGCCCTGCATCCACATTTGAAAACTTAAAATTAATTAAATACAATTATAAACACGAAACATCTATTGACGTACATTTTCAATTGCATCGGGTTTGTGTCTATGCTTTTGTGTTCAGTGCGGTGTTAAGCCAAGGTAGCAGCAACAAAATAAGTTTAAATAAATAATAGCGGAGTAGTGTAGTTGGAAAAAAAAATCATAAGCTTCCCCTCTCTCGGACTTGGAAGAACAAGTACATAAATTAATGTCTGAGTGTCGATATCTTTTATAGGCCGATCCTTATTAAATATTTACAATATCTGCATACTGATCATGGAAAATATGCTCTATATCGTTTTGGGAAAGTGGGCGAAACCACACCTCCCCATATAAGAGAAAGCTGCAATTGGTAATTAATTTTGAATTATTTTACATTCTTGTCGCGGTATAAAAATACTAATGCTGTAAAGGTAAACCTTATTATCTGCGATTTTAAAGCCAAGTGACTATTTTCAGTGATTCCTGGTAACACATTATGGCATTATAAATAAATCTTTAATAGCTGAAAAAAAACGGCGAAACACAAAAGTCACAAGCACGTTGGGGAAATTTTATCGAATATCTTCTGCACCCGCAAGTGGTCTAACACATAGCAGAATAAAATAATGATGTAATAAAAACATTTTGAAAGAAAATAAAATGTTCTGGAGCTAATGAACATAATAGAGCATAAATAAGTATGCAATTCGAGAGTAGGACAGAGATAATGGAATATCATTAATAATAATAATAAATAAAAGAGTAATATCATAAAGAAGTGACTTGAAACTGTGTAGACAGCAGAAGTATTTTAAATAAAATGTTGAGTTCTATTCAATAATAATTTGGTATCCAGACATTTATTCTTTTTGGAAAACTAAGAATGCTCAGTTAGTAATTTGCAGAAGTTCAGGTGAAATGAAATGCTTTACAAACCATTCATTATTTTGAATTTAAAAAAGAACAAAAACGAAATTAAAAATGTTTTGTAGACAAGTGTTGTGAGGAAGTTATGATGAATTTATCCAATTTGTCCAACTTTAATCTTTTTTTGTGAACAGTCATAAAGCAGATAAGGGTAACAGTTTGAAAATATGTTCGCCAAAAGTCGCTGCTCAGTAATTGACATACAGACATGAGTTTTTCATGCTCACGACGATAGAATACTTATCGAGAATAGACGCAAAAATTCAGTTTGCCGCTCTTTTTATGATGGGTTGAGCTTAAAAGTTAAAAAAAAAATTAGCATAAGAGGTGCATTTTAAGGGGTTAAAACTTAACTTTACATTAGATGTGGTATTTGCAGTTGTACGTTCCAAAAAGATGCAGGAATAATGGACCAACAAAAAATGTAAATTATACTTCCGGCTTAAATGTATAACGCGTGCCCTTTTTCCCTCTGTTTGGCGTTGCAACAACCACATGTTGCTCGCTTGCTGCAAATATTCACAAGAAAACGAAAATAAACAAGAGTTGTGAAAAGCAAACGAGAACAAAAAGAGGAGAAGAGGAGAACCAGCGCTGAACTTGACGTTCCGGCCAGGACACCAAAAATTAGAACAAGCTGAATTAGAACAGTCAAGGCGAACCGCAGGGATGCACACAAGAAACACACACACACACACTAACTACGAATGTACACACACACATACAAGTATATAAAGTGGAACGGGGAGAGCCGCCCATGTGTTGCAGCGATGTGTCGGCATCTCGAGCATTTTGCAACGTGTTGCACATGCCGCTGCATTCCGATTCTGTTGGAAAGCGTGCAACCAAACGAGACGCCGCTGGTCCAGACAGACACAGATTGCAGATTGCGGACCTCAGACAGCAGACTGCAGACAGCAGACAGCACGGATTAGCCACGCACAGCGCGGGGTGCCTCAAAGAGCACAGTGGGCCCAAGCTAGATAAACACTGGAGACATTAAATCAATAATCAACTTCTTCTAGATCCACTTTATTTGTAAATCAACTAAACATCGAAAGAGGACGAATCTCTTTAAAACCCAAAAAGAGGAAACAAGTCCAGTGGAGTTATATACAGCTACATTCTCAGGCATTAGTTTTATTTACAAATTCTTGGAATAATTTTCTGCAATTTTCTAAATTAATTTCTCAATATAGTAAGAAGTCTTTACACATTTTAATGCCGAGTTGCCTACTTTATAGTATGTTCGATGAAAAAATATTCCTGAATCACAATCTGGATGGTATACCACAAGGATTCAATGACATAGAGTGTACAATTGTGGAAGACGGACAAAAGTACTTCTCAATCAGAACTTCTATAAAATGATCCGAAAAGGAAAAGCGTCTAAAGACATAATTATTGGCGTTTTAAGAGGCCAGTATTTGCTAGTGATGCATTTAAACTATAAATAATTTATTTAATAAAATAGTTAACGAGTGCAGTTTTAATTACATTAGACACATACATATATGTGAATTCTGGAGTAGCTCAAGAAGAAGAGTCCTTTTAGCCAAGCCTCAGTACTTTACTTTATAATCATTAGAATTATGTATTGGAATAAGGTATGAATGAATTTCTACATTTTTTTTAATTATAAACATACAAGTATATTACATCTTATTTACGTCTATTAAATCTTAAAAATATAGTCATTCAAGAGATGGGAATGACAATATTATCTCGAAGAATTATTCAAATTATTCTGATTCTGATATGAAATAATGTCTTATCAGTCAGATAACTTAGTTTAAATTAGTAATTCAACAGGAAATGTAGCTTTATATATATTTCAATTAATGTTAAAATATTATAAAAATACTCTTAAATTACTTTAAAAAAAAAAAAAAATTTATTAACTGTAGTTAATAAAATACCAAATATAAATATATCACCTACGTAGAAGTATACGTATATACATATATTTATGCACAGTTTCAATAGAGATTGCATTTATGGCTATAACCTTCCTTACAATTGATCCTTTACAAGTAAAATGAAACTAAACTAATTAAGTTTTCAACTATTCTAAGAATTGCGGGCGCTATGAAAAAATCATTAATAGGGGACGAGTGGGAGGTGCAAAAAAAAAATCACCAGTCTGTCCTTTCTCGGACCTAGGACAAACTACATACCAAGTGAGCAGAGCATCTTTTAAGTTTTTACCTGGAAAATTTGCTAATGTTCGGTCAAAAGAAAGCGGATGGCCTAAATTTGGTCCAAACTTTGGACGTGAATTGCAGGATGTAAGGAGAACTAGTTTTTTTTTTCTGGAATTTCGAGGTAGTTTTAGAATCACTTTTCTTTAATAGCCATAATCATCAGTGCACATAATGTAGATTTGCGGAAAACATTTAATATACATATACTATTAGCCAAAACAAAATATAAGGACAAAAAAAATAGAAGGAATAACCAAAACAGAACATGAGACAACGGATTGTTAACTACCCTTCGGCTTGGCCAATTCGATGAGCCGTGGAGTGGCCTTGGCCTTGAGTGCTGCCGGGGAAATGGCGAAAGGATTTTCGCGTATGTGAGTGTTCTCGAACTCCCTCGGCTCAGCCAGTTCCTTGATGCGTGACGATGCCTTGTACTTGAGCGCATTCGGCGATATGCTGAACGGATCATCAGCGACCTCAATAGTAGCTGCATTACGATCGTGGGTCTGTAATGGCTGCGACATCTCCTTAATACGTGCACTAGCTGTATGAATGGGATTGGATGAATGCTTTCAGTTATTCTTCTGATTTCAGTTAATGCGCCTACAAGTATACCTTTATATTGGAGGGCGTTACGGGAGACCTTTTCGGGCTCCTCTTTAATGTGAACGTTTTCACGTATGAGGGGCTTGGCAATTCTTTGGATGCGCTCAGTCGGCTTGTAGAATTTCATTTGTTTCGTGAACTCCCATGGAGCCTTAGTGTCCTCGATACGCTTCCTGGGACGTGACAGCTTCTTGAGCCGACGTGGATTAACTTCACCCACCTTGCGGTCCTGTAAGGGGTAGTACGGGTTATAGGGGTTTGTTATTCGAAGAAAGTACCAGATAGTTACGTCGCTAACTGTTCAACTTACCGGCTCGGGAGGCTCGGGAACTTCCCTAGGCTTGGCCATCGTATTAAAATATTTTGCTTTAATAGCTTTCTGCTTCTTGTCCAGTTTCTGGCGTTTGGGACTGAAAAGTAAGTTGGCAATAATAAGGGTAAATATATAAAATTGACTCTACTCCCGAACTTACGGCCTCTGCATCGGCTGTTTATTGTTCAAGCGACTGTACAACGATAGATAACTAGAGCGAAGCCAGCGATTCAAAATGATCTCAGCTATCTTGTCCCCCTTTACTAGAGCATCTTCCCTTCGAACTTGCAGGCGTCTATTTTAGTGAGACGAATGCGATGTAGTGCCCAGGCTTTGAAGATATGATTAGCTTACCTGACAAGTGGCAGAGCTAGTTGTTCGGTGCGTGTGTACATTGGTGGATCGGCGTGGACTATTTCAATGGTCTTTTGAAATCGGCAGGGGCATTTGGGAACAAACTGACACATGCGACGAGTCGGTAACGCCAGCTCCATAAGGCGCTTGCGTTTTTCGAACATGCTGTTGTGCCGCGAGAACAGCATGTGAGTTTCTTTGCTGATGTCCTTGAGAAAGCACTCGGCATCGTACGGTATGGGATCATGAACGTGACAGCAATCAGGACGCACGTTATCACCGAGCTTGAGACATGTTGTGACCTCTGGACTGAAGTCACATTTGAAGCGTTTTATCGTCATTCGGGGTTTTTTATTTATGTACAGCTGCAAATAAGTACTTGCTGTATTAAAATTTTTTTTTTTTTACTAAAAATTTTTTTTACGTAGGATTTTTTTTTTTTATTATTTATTGAAAGCATGAAGTTTAAAAAGGAAATAAGATTTACAAATATTGATAGTTCCCTACAAGCTATCTGAGTTGTGCAAAGGCATAAGTTCCATACTCCAAAGGATATACATAAATTGGACAACAATGTTGACCTCTTTCCCAGCTTAATTATGCATACGGTTTTTTGGCACACTGTGCAATTGTGGATGAGTACTCGGGGGAGAGTTTGAACACTTGAAATAAGTTGGAGCTTCAGCCCACTTTTGGCACAGTTTATTCCAACAACAAACTGCATACAAATGCACAGAGATCGAAAGAGAGTGCGATGGAGAGGGAGTGAGAGATGGAGTGAGAGAGGGGAGAGACGTGCATGCACAGTCATTTGTTTCCAGCCGTGTTCCTTGCTCACTTTGCTGCTGCCGTTGTTGTTGCTGTTGTTGTGTTTGCTGCCACCCCATTGCGTTGACGCTGCAGTTGGCGTCGCAGTCTCATTGCCATTTTGTGCCGTTGCTTTGGCGCGCATATTGCATTTGTACATACATGCATACATAGATACATACATACACGTGTACGTGTAAGTATGTGTGAGCGTGGCTGCTGCTGTTGCCGTTGCCGTTGCATTGTTTGCATTTCAAATTGAATTCCTTTAAAATTCGATTCATGTGTGCGTGTGTGTGTGTGTAGTGTGCTGGCATTTTTGTGTGCGCCATGCATCTGCTGTTTTTTTTTTCTGTCTTTCTTTTGGTATTGTTGTTGTTGCTGTCGTACATTTTCAATTATGATTGAGCAGCATTTGTTGTCGTTTTGTTGTTTTGGTTTGGCTTAGTTATTTTTTTTTCAACTCTCTTGCTTTTCACCCTAATTGAAAATTGTCGCTTCGTGTTGTTTGCGACTGCTGTTGCTGTTGCTACTGGCTGGCTGGCTGGCTTAATTTTCATCTTCAACTGCAACTTCAACTCCTGCGTTCTTGTGGTTTTGCTGATGCTGCACGTTCAAGCCATACACATACATATGCATACATACATACATACGTGTACGTGTATATATACATGCATACATAAAGGCAGTTAGCAACATGACTAACTTATAGGAGAAGAACCGACCACCCATTGTATTACCAATAACAATACCAACTAACGGGCTCAAATAAAAATAAAAATAAAAATAGAACAAAAATCGAAGCAAATCTTTGGAAATATGCAAATGCCTAAAAACAATCGCCAGAAGTGTTAAACAAATACCCACAAGACACACAACACACACAGAAAGTAAACCAAACGAAATAAAGCTCTAACACCCAAAAATACATACATACGCACATGTATGTATGTATGTATGTATGTATGTATGTACATACATACCAACAAATATACATATTTACATACCTATTTACATGTGCATATGTGTGCCTACATAAGGCATCTCGCACAATGTAATTGACAATTGTCGTGTGAAGAGCAAATAGTTGAGATACATACATACATACCATATGTATTTAAAAATCCACAGTGGTTAAAAGCCTATTTGTAATAGTTCGCCCTTGTGGTAAGACAGTCAAGTCGTTACATAAATATAAACTACATCCTACATACATATGTACTTCCTATTGAACTTACAAAATAGATCAAAAACATTATGCAGCAAATATTCAATACATATACAAATGAAATTAAGTTCAATATTTTCAAATATCTGCAAACACTTGTTTCCGGTTCGTATAAAATTTGTCGCAACCGGTTTGCTTTAGTTTTCCGAATGAAGCACCTTTCCCCCGCACGTAACAACTGGAGTTTAATTATAATTTGTAATGATTGTAATAATTTGATCTTCCCGCCCAATCAATTTTTATACATTCATCAAACAAATTTTAATTAATTCGATTATTTTCAGCAGCATTTAATTAATATTAGATATTGATCTAATTTATTTAACGTAATTTTACTATTTATAAGCACTATGTGGATATTTATGAATATGTTAATAGGTATAAAATGAGTTAAGTAGAAGCAACAATAGGAAGGAATAAATAGGAAATTGAATTAATTTGAATTACTTTAATTAATAATGAGTATCAAACATTATTCAATGTGCCGTTTTCCATTGGCTTTAATCATAGCTGGTACAAATATTGCTGTCTTTAGGAAGCATCAGAAACTATATGCTAATGGGAAGATGTTTGCACTGACCTTTTCCCAGTTGATTAAGTTTGAAGTATAACTATACTACACGAAGTATATAAAGTCTTCAGTAGGTCCTAAGCAGCTTTCCAGATAAATTATCAATGACAATTTCTGGGTGTATAAATAAACATTCATATGTAACACATACTGCCTGATCAAAATCTTTCTCTTCTCGTTCTTCTCTTATTAATAGCTTTAATTCAAAACGAATCATGGCTCGTGCAAAATTACGAATACAATATCAAAAGGAACGAAGTGGCACATATTACAGATATTGAAGCACACATCTACAAGTAGGAATATACAGCGGTACCTAGCAGTTCTCTGAACTAGTACAGGCGTAGAGACTTTTTCTAAATTCACATAAACTGGTTTCATTTCTGATAGGGCTTACACTGAAAGAATTGAGACAGCTACATATTTCGAAAAGAGCACATTTATAATGGATCCAATGATATAAAAGCATATCCGCTCGTAAATCATGAAAATGTTTGCTCTTAAAAATGCTACTTAAAAATGTCTAGAGTATGGCACAGTTATTGCTGTTATTATTCTGTGCGGAAAAGTTACATGTATGGGTATGAAAGTAACATTTAAATGCACAATTTAAATCTAATTTGATTAGTGGATTTGTTTTATTGATTTTTTAAAATTATATTTTATTTATGTATATATTTTATATATGTTCACTGTTAAAAGTGGCAATGCATATGTAGTATGAGAAGTGGGCTTAGATTTTGTGGTAAGTATTTGTGGCTTTTAAATATTTTGATATGAGATAAGTGTTTTGTAATAATTGGTTTGTCATTACGGTGATGGGGTTAATGCTTGGGAGAATAGATAATCTATGTGGCAGGACTGTGCAACGCGTTTAGTAGCGTGTTTAGATAGAGATTTGTCTATATATTGTGTATGTGTTAGTGAGGTATATCCAAAGCGAATTCTATTCAGTTATATTTGCTCTGTTCTTGATAGGAGGTTTTACGAATTGTTATTGCATATGGCAAGGACAAATAAATGATTGACGTTGCTTTTCTGGTACGGAGGGGATGTTTGGTTGAATCGAGTCGGTTGTTTTAGAGTTAGATTATTTTTAAGAGCTAAGGTTATGTCGGAGGAATCGTAGTTTGGTGTAAATTTCACTAAAAATACTTAACGAAAATAAATGTGTGTTGAGGAAGCTGATGCAGGGTGTAGGGAAAATTAATTTTTCGTTACAAAAGTCGACTGAAGGAACTAGTTCAACTGCAACTTTCCGAGCTACAGGGTAAGAATATATACAAAGTTAGCATTCAAGCGCCGGTAAAGTCAACAGCGACAGCTCGAAGCTGGCTTTTGCGGAAAGCAAACAGTCAGAGTCACAGCCACGACAAAAACAACAACAAAAACCATAGGAACAGCAACAGCGAGAACAACAACAGCAAGCCGAAAACCACAACAAACGCGTAGACGAGCCGGCCCGCAACTTTAGCGATCATGGCCAGTAGGCAGAGTCAGAGTCAAAGCCAAAGCGAGCGCTTGGCGGCTGGAGTGCGTGACTCATTGGAAATTGTAGTGAATGGCGACTGGTGCCCGGAGAGCGGTATGTAGCGGGCAGAGAGCGACAAAGCTGTTGGCGCCATGCAGAAATGCAGAAACAGCGCTGTTCACATTACATAAGCATGGGGGTCAGCTTAAAGCGTCTCTGCGAAGAGTATCATACTATGTGTTGTTGTTCTTCTTATTCTCTGAAGTCGCTCGATCATTGAAAAGTAACGGCGCTGCAAATGACAGCTGTATGGGGCGCAATTAAAAAGTCATTAACTGTCACGCACAAAGGATTCAGAATTGGGCTCAGGCTCGGACAAGTTACGACCGGACTGTGATTGACGTTGACGCTGAAGCTGAAGCTGACGTTGGCAGTGGCACTGGCACTGGGTCTGGGACTGGAACTGGCACGCAAGGTTTCCACTCGTTGCGCTCGCCGCACACTCACACACCTTGTAATTAGAGACGCCTTAGTTCGGTTCTCCCTACCTGTACCTGTACCTGCCCTCACCTAGTCATGAGAGTGCAACAGTTGCGTGCCATAAACGCGCCATAAAAATGGCCTAATCCCTACCTACATACGTATGTACATACATACATACATACATACATACATACATACATACTTGTAGATGCTGCATGTCGTGCGGCTCTTAAGCCGTCTCTTGCAGCTCAGCTGAACTACAAAGATTGAGCTTTTTGCGCAGGCGCACACAGCGCTTTAGTTATGCCATTAGAGTGTCTATCGGTTCTCGATCCTCTGCTCTCCGTCGGCTCAACGAGTTCCTCCTCCATTCTCCATTCCCTCGCGACACTTTGAAACCCATTTCTCTCATACACAACATATGTACATTTTATTTTTTCTCAAGTGCTTTTATTATTATTACTGTTGTTGTTGTTGTAACTGCTACGTGCCGTCGCACTTCACCTTAACTATGCATATGTGTGTGTGTGCTCCTTGGATTCCTTTTTGCGCTACTCTTCACTCACATATTTTTCAGCTTGCGGACCATTTTGTGCCCACACTCTGCTATCGTCGCCATCGCCATCGTCGTCGTTTCTTTATTGTTTTATTGTCAGTTTAGGGATTTGACAATTTGTTTGCTGATTTTTTATGACAATCATGTATGTAAATTTGGCTTTGCCTTTGCCAGCTCAGCAGCAACACAACGCAACGCGCCGCGTCTCGACTCGCCTCGCCTCGCATGGCCACGTCTCGCCTTGCCACGCAACTCTTCCTCTTTGAACCGCTCAAGACCCACAGCTGTATCTCTTTAGCATCTTTGTATCTGTATCCGAGCTGCTGTGCTGAAGCGCCATTAGCTCGTTGCCTTCGTCGTTGTCCGCTTACGAGATTTTTAAATACTTTGGGACCATTTTGCAAGCATTGACAGCCATCCAGTCAACCAACCAACCAACTAACCAACAAACCTCTCCATCTCGGTGTCTGTCTCTCCTTCCGCTCGGTTGGTTCGCCTGAAACCCTTCTCGTTGCTATATTTAGTATGTTGTCTTTTTTTTATGTCCCACATAAAAGTTTAGTTTATTAATTTTTGAGCGTTGACAACTTTTATGAGACCACTGACGGTCCTAAAAAAAAAAGAAAAAAAAAAAACTAGGCTAGTAGTGTACTACCATGCATACTATGTTTGTACATACATATGTGCATACATACATATGTATGTACATAGCTCTGTATAACCGCTGAATAATGCGCCGTGCATTCTTAGCAAGCATCCAGCTACTCATAGTTTACAAGCCCCATTAATCGTCTGAAAGACTTTGGCAATTGTAAAATCACAAGTTATACAGCTGTTTAGTAAATAACTTTCTTGTTACATACGAGTACAATGACGTAGAATGTACAAGCGTATGGGTATATTATTTTCCTAAATCTATAAAAATGCAATTAGTAATTAGAAATAGTTTATTGGTTGCGGTCTTTTTATTTATAACGCAAAGTAAATTGTTAAGTTAATGCAGGTATAGTATGCCCTTGCTATTGTATAATTTGTGGATCCTAAACCTCTAAAGCCTACATATGTTATACATACATATGTATATTTATTTATGTATGTACATTTGTATGCCAAATTCCAAAGGGTACAAAAGTAAGCGTATGGAAACTTTAACGCTTCCTGTAGGCGCTCTATGAGTCGAGTTCCAATAGGCTCGCCGACCTTGAATTGCGCTTTCGCGCACACATGTTAATGGTTGTGCATTTGGGGCTCACATGGGTTAAAATAAGATAGGCACATTGTCCACCGGCTGCCATAACCTCAAATAAATTGGCACACACACACACACACAGGCATAGACGACAGAATGCACGGGTATGAAAAATGTCGCCTTCAAGCTACTACTTTCAAGGCAAAACTCTTTACAATGTGCCACAAAAACAAAGCAGCGCTGTTGCTGCTGCATCATCGCAAAGAAATGGCCAACAGCTCAAGCAACGACAACGGCGTCAGGCAAAACGCACACTCTTTTTTTTTATATATTTTATATAAAAAAATAAATAAATAAATAATAAAAAAGCAAAAGCAAAAACAAATGCAGCCGCAGAGAGAGAGACAACAGCAAAGTCGGCAGCAGCAGCGCAAACACAAAACCCTGTACATAGCCGATATACAAACACACACGCAATGACGGCAGCGACGACGCGAGCAGCAACCACTGGGCTGCGTTTGTGTGCGTACGCGTCGCAGCCACCGCTTCTACTTCTGCTGCTGCGCTGCTGCGTTGGCCGCCGCGCGGACAACTTTTCAATGCCGCATGCACGTCGGTCATTTGTATTTGGAACGCCGTAGCAGAAAGAAGGACACGAGCGAATAAGCGACGAGCAAGCGCAGCGTGTGAACGGAGCGGCTATTTTAGCTTTTAGCGCCCTTTTTTGTTTAATTTTTTTTAATAAAAACGGCAAACAAATACCGACAACATTTTGGCAAAATTTTTCGGCAAACAAACCATACAACAAAAAACTATTTCGGACTTAAAATCAAAAAAAAATTAAAAGTTTTAACGTGTCGTCTATTGTTTTCTATTGCGTTCGTAAACAATTTTTTTCTGTTGCTATACCCACTACATTGTACATAAATATGTGCATACATATACACGTCAAGAAGTGATCTTTAGTGTGCACAAAGCAAAAAGCAAAATACAAAAAAATTAAAACAGCAATTCACCGGCAAACAAAATATTAACACAAAACAAAATTCAAAATTGCAAAAAGTGCTAACGAATAAGAAACAAACACACGAAAAAGTTAAAGCTCGGCAGATCTTCGGTTCGGTTTTTATTTTATAAATTATTATCATTCTGCTTCTGTTTGTTTTGTGTTCTTCGGTACGGCGGCGTAAAAGAAAGCAGCGCAAGAAATTTGACAAAGCGGCGAACGCTTCGCCAGCCGCAGCAGTAACAAAATATCGACAACCACACGCACATAACGAATAAAACTACGCGATTCGGAGAGCAACTGCAGTTGCAGTCGCAGGCCGAAAACATAAATTGCACAAAGCGAAGGCGCAGATAAGTAAGCAAACATGCGATAGAAGACGGCATATATACATACATACATATGTATGTATATTATAACAATATGTACATATTTCCGATCTGCGGGTGTGTGTGATTGTGTGAATGCGTGTAATATTTTGGCAAACTCTTAAAAACTCATAACTTACTATAAACAAACATATGTACATACATATCTACATATGAGTTGTTATTTCTTTTGTTGTACAAACATTTAAACAAATGCTCAAATGCAGCCTTTGTGTGAGCAAGAATTTGTGAGAAAACAAGCTCAAAATATTTCTCATTTTTTGTTTAGTGAAAAAACAATGATATTTGACGGCTTCAAGTTTTATTCCAAAATCATCAACAAATGTAATCATTAGATACCGCTTTAAAGTTGATACCGAACTCTTAATATATACATAAAGAACTTGCTACAGTCCTAGATTTAGCATATTAATTGCAACTAATTTTTTTTTCGCCAACTACATAATATATGTATTGTATGTATGAATGTACATGCTATATGTACATACATATGTACATTGTTTTGTGCGGCCCTGTGCAATTTGACGGCGAAGTAATGTCGCGGTCGACAACGCAGCGACAGCATACTTGCGCATTGAGCTCAGTCGCCGTTTATTTGTGCGCCGCTTAAGAGACGAGAGCTTAGGAGCCGGCAATTTGTTGAGGTTCTTTTTGGATTTTATAAGCGACTACGTTGTTCAATAATTAATAAAAAGTAATAAGAAGCGAATGAAAAACAATAAATTGTAAGAAAAATACGAACAAATTTAGACATAGCGTGCAAATAGAACATTGAGAAAAATATGAAAAAAAAAAACAACCGTTATGCCAAAAGAGTGCATGTGGATGTGAGAGAGTGTGTGTTAAAAAGTAAAAGCGTGAACTATTTTCTGCAATTTTTGTGTATTTTAAACGAATTAGATTTAATTAATAATCGAAATTAATGCACATTTTTACAGTTCAAATACGTAAACACTAAATGGCCAAGCGATGATAAACGAAAAACAGCAATAACTAATAAATGTACATACATACATGCGTACACACAACAAGGACGCCAGGACAGCGAAAGGAACGAATAAATTGAAATCGCGGCGAGCTACGCACGCATCATTGTGCGCACACGTGCGTTAATAAGACACACGCGCAAATAACGCACACATATAAGTCCATATATACATATATATTTTTAAAATCAGTTGCCATGCGCTTGCGGATTTAACAAACCAAACTGGATAACCAGAGCGCGCCAAAACATAAATAAAAGTATAAACGACCGGGAGACCCATGAGCAGCAGCAGAGCAACGTGCCAGACTTATGTTGACATATGTAGCGGTTTATGGCGAGCATAAAAAGTGAAATGCCGCCACTGCATGCGGCAGAAGCGCTTGCGTCGAGCAGTGCCACTGATAGCGGCGGTGGCGGTGGTTCTGGCGGCAGCGCGCCACCCACCCCAAACAGCAATGCGACGGCAAATGCCACAATAAGCGCCGCCGCTGACTCCAGCGATAATCAGCCGAGCACGCCGCAGCCACCACAACAGCAACAGTCTTCACAACCACCACTAGGCAGCAGCAGCAACAACAGCGGCACCACACTTAGTAATGAACCACAGCAGCAGCAGCAGACCTCGGGCATTACCCATCAGCCGTATGCCACGCATCACATGTACGCTGGGGGTGGTTTAAACTCCGCTCAGCAGCAGCAAATGTACGGAGGTGCTGCTTATGGCGCCGCCGATATGCAACAACAAGGTTATGCGAGCAGCTACATCAACAGCTACGAGCAATTCTACCAGCAACAACAACAGCAACAAGGTGCCGATTACGGCAGCGGTTATGCGGACTACGGCAAACATACGCAACCATCGAGTGTACGGTATCATCCTTATCTACAGACACCCACCTCAGGTCCCCTCGGCTCGGCTGCGGGCCCCGGCAGCGTTGTGACCAATGGCGATAATGCTGTTTCCGTGGGTGGGGCAACTGTCTCAAGCGCTCCAGCCGCCGTCTCCACCACCACGGCCATGAGTCCGCGCGTTGTTAGCTCCACCAGTCCCACATCCACTTCATCACACATGCAGCTTAGCACCGCCCAAACACCGAGCTCACCTGGCGGGGGCTGCAAGCTGCAATGCAAGAAATGCGGCATTTTAACCACCAATGAATCGGAGCTGCAGGAGCACATCGCCAATGTGCATGGCGAATCGCCGTACGGTAGCAGCGGGTATGCCAGTTCGCCCTACATCAAAGAGGAGATGCCCACGCCGCAGCCACCGCCAGTAGCTGGCGGCAATCCAGGCGACATTTTAGATCTGGACTCTCAAAAGATGGTTTATCCACCATTACCGGGGAGCATGCAGCATCAGCAATTACTCCAGCAGCAGCATGAGGCAGGCGTGGGTGTATTACCGGATCCACTGCACTCTATGCAGTCGATGCAACAGCGTGCCCTGCACAGCTGGGAGCAGCAACAGGCGCCACAACAGCAGGAGGGTTTGCCACCCTATATGCAGCAACAACAGCATATTAGCGCCGGTGGTGGTGCAGCCGATAAGTCACCGTATTACTCACCCAAGCAGTCGCCCTACCATCAGGCCAGCGGCACGCTTATTAAGCAGGAGTACGGCATAATAAAGTCCGAGTACCCGGACTCGCAGCACTATGTGGACAAATCATTTGATCCCACAGCGGGTGGCCCGGAATTGTGCGCAGCTACGGCGGCACAGCAACAACAACAACTGTTGCCAGTGGCCACCAGTCCGGCGGAGTTTCCGTCTACAACTACGGGCGGTCCTCAGGATGCGACAAGCGCACAACAGCAGCAATCCTATCGTGGCTTTGAGCCACCCAGCTCGTCGTCTGTGCTGCCGGCGAACAGTTTGACCGCCAAGGCAGCTACCTGGAAATCGAATGAAGCCCGTCGTCCCAAGACGTATAATTGCACGGCATGCAACAAGTGGTTCACTAGTTCCGGTCATCTTAAGCGCCACTATAACACAACGTTGCACAAGAACGCCGTCAAGTCCAGCGGTCTTCCGGATCCGGCATCGATGCCCATTTCGGCACACCATCATCCATCGCGTGATCCCGGCGGCAAATCGAGCCGACGCAGCAATGCTGCTGCAGCAGCCGCAGCAGCTGCGGCGTCTCAACAGCAACCACCAGCTCCCGTACAACCGCCCGAACCACCCAGAAGTCCGCCCGACTATGGTGGCCATGGTGCGACGGGCGTGCAGGTGGGGGCAGCCATGTCGCAGTATTCGGCTTCGCCGTCGCCCACCGCTCAGCAGCAGGCGGCTGGTCAAGCCAATGGGCTGGTTACCGGTGGTTATGGTCAAACCAACGGTGGCTATCATCCGCAGCAGCAGCAGCATCATCATCATGCCGCATATATGCAGCAGCAGCAACAACAACAAGTGCAATCGACGACAAACGCTTCACCACAGCATGCTTCCAATCAGCAGCAGCAAAATACCGTTATGAACGGTCACCCAAACGGGCTAGCAGGTCCCTCCGCCCCAACCAACAACAACAACAACGCACAAATGCCGTCCTCCCAAATGAGGGGCCTGCTGAACACAACAATAACAACACCAACAACAGTTATAAAGAGCGAACTAATGGAGGACAGCAACAACAGCAGCAACAGCTCACCAATGGCCATGGAGGAGGAAATGGCAGCGGACGCGGCAGCACTGGCGCAACAACTGGGGGGACACCACCAGCCACTGCAGGTGCTGCCAACTCCGGCAACCTCGTCGGCTCCATTATTGGTGGGAGCGGAGTCGGAGGAGTCCTATCTGCCCCAGCTGGCAGTAGCGGAGGAACAGCAGCATCAGCGGCATTACCACAACAGCACGCCCAGCAGCACGCACAGCAACAGGGTGCACTCACCCCTTACTACTTGCCCGCCGGGCTACCAGGGGCAGGGGTCGGTGCCGGAGCCACAAATGGCTTTCTCGCGCACCCCACCGCCGCAGCTGCTCCATATGGCAATGCCGCCGCATATGGGAATGGACTACAGCATGCTACCTTTGGATATCAGCACGCAGCTGCAGCCGCCGCCCAACAGCAGTATGTGCAGCAGCACCAGCACGGCTACTACCACCACCAGTATGGACATGGGGTGCACCACTATGCTGCCGCCGCTGGGGCTGGGGCACCACCACTACCACCACCCCCCGGGGCACCACCCGGCACACCAGGGCCTGGCACCTCATCAGCAGCTGCAGCATCAGCTGCTGTTGGCAGCAGCAGCGGCCTCATCGGCGCCACAACAAGCGGGAACGGAGCTGGCGGGGGCGGACCCACAATCGGGGGAACCACAGTCGGTGGAGCAACAGCAGGAGGAAGCGGCTCTGGCAGCCTTGGGAGCACTGCAACCGGCAACGGACTCGCCGCACAATACGCTGCACAGCAGTACCAGCATCAGTACCACCACCAGCACCACCACCACGCCGCCGCCGCAGCAGCAGCAGCAGCCGCACATCACCACCATCACCACAGCGCCGCAGCTGCTGCCGCTGCAGCTGCAGCCGCCGCCGCCGCACATCACCAGCACCATGCCATCCTTCCAGCAGCTGCAACAGGCGTCGGCGCTGGCGCCGTTGGAGCACACAATGAGCTATCACACTATTATTGGTAACTCGGGCACGGGTAGTGCCTCAACGGTTGACTTCGCCAGTCTCGATGCGTTTGGCCAGCAAATGGGTGCACCACCGCAAATGATAGCCACCAGCGATGGCCAGATACTGCAATTAATGCCCGCCTCGCTCTTCTCCTCGCAGCTATATACAACAGCTGCCATGCGTGATCCGTATGCGCCACTTTCGCCCTACACTGTAGCCGCTCAGCGTTCTCCACAAGAGGGGGATCTGCCGCCGGTACACACCCTCACAGCGCTCCAAGCCCAGCAGCAAGAATCACAGACGCCATCAACGACGCTCACAGTGCTGGCTACCATGCCCTATTCGCCTACCGTTTCTTCATCCACCACCACTCCAGCTCTGGAGGAATACGAGATGGCTCTGCTAGCACAGCAGCAACAGCAGCAGCAACAACAACAACAGCAACAACGTGAGCTGCAAACCATATCCGAGCATGAGGAGTTGCAGCAGATGCATCATCAACCATCAGTGCAGCTGCAGATGCAATCCCAACAACAATCCCAGCAGCCATTGCAGCTCAGTTTGCCCGACAGCAGTCCCCAACTGGCATCCCAGGCGACCCCGAATCCTAAGAAGCGACGAACTACCACGGCATCAAGCAACAGCAAACGTCGACGCACAACCTCGGCCGGCTCCACATCGCCACACTCGACAACGTTGCCCTCCGGACGCATCAAGTGCCTGGAGTGCGACAAGGAGTTCACCAAGAACTGCTACCTGACGCAGCACAACAAAAGCTTCCACTCCGGTGAGTACCCATTCCGGTGTCAGAAGTGCGGAAAGCGCTTTCAGTCCGAGGAGGTGTACACCACCCATCTCGGCCGCCACAAGACCCAGGACAAGCCGCACAAGTGCGAGATCTGTCCCAAGCAGTTCCATCACAAGACTGATCTGCGTCGCCATGTCGAGGCTATACACACGGGTCTCAAACAGCACATGTGCGACATTTGCGAGAAGGGTTTCTGTCGCAAGGATCACCTGCGTAAGCACCTCGAGACCCACACCCGGCCACGTGTCGTGGGCAAGAAGTCAGCCGCTGCAGCTGCAGCCGCGGCCGCAGCTGCCACAGTCACATCCTCGTTGTCAGCGAAAGTTGGCAGCGTCAAGGAGGCCTTTGCCAATTTGGCGGCCAACAAGACGCTGCCAACTCCGCAGACGCCTGCACTGAAACGAACCATCGACGATGTGGCTCCTGACGATGATAGCTTGCTAGATGATGATGATGAGGATGAGCACGACGAACTGCTAGACGATGAGGTGGGGGCTGATCATGATGGGGGAAATGCTGGTGCGACGCTGCACATGCCACTCTCGCATATGCAGCTGCCACAACAGCAGCAGCAACAACAACAACAACTGCTTCATGACCGCAGCGAGCTTATTAAGGGCGGTTTCCCGATGAAAAGCGAATTTATTCAGATTAAGCATGAGTACGATGACGAGATGGAATATCAGATGATAGAGAAGAATATCGCCTTATATTGATATATACACTATAGTAGTAAAGGGGTGTCGCCTCAGTGGGTGGTAAGGAGCTGTGTGTGTGGGCGCCTGGGGATCGAGAGCGAGCGCACCGCCAGGTTTTGAAATGCTCGCGCTTTGACAATCGATTCGATTCTTTGCATAATTGAAAGTTTTAAACAACCTCTTATTGCCAATATTTGAGAGAGAGGGACAGAGGGAGGGGGGAGAGAGAGATTTGCCATAGTTTGCCACATTTTATTGTTTAGCATGCACCCCAAAGCTACAGCATTTCAAAACATACCCGCACATCCCCCAATCAACACCCACAACACCCGCCCACCCTGCTGAAAGCTGTAATTAGTTTGCCATATTTTCACAATTGATATAAATAAAGACAAACAAATTCCTAATTGTTATTTTATGTAGCCCTGTAGCAGCAAATTATTTAAATTTATGTTAAAAGATTGTATTTTATGTCTATCTATCTATTAATTTTACTGAGCGATTTTAAATTAATGTTAAACGATTGAAAGATGACAAAAATGCCAGCATTACCTCCCCACAGATTGCTTCAAGATTGTGGGAAAAACGCTTGCAAGTCTGCTAACAAAATAACAACACCAACAACAACAAATGTTTTTGAAATAGATCAGGTACTCGTGAATCCATATATGGTTGCTATATAGACAACAATCTACTATATATAACCTATATATGCATCTGCTGAGTGGCAAATCCCATTGCTTTTTTTTTTTTTTTAATGCATCATTAATTATTTTATTAACAGACGGGCAAGCGAGTTTACAATTTTTAGTCATTTTTTTTTTTGCATACGCAATTGTAATTTGTTTAATTTTTTATTGTTTTTAGTTCGTTTTTCGTTTGTTTTGTAATCAACACAAATGCCATATACATATGTAAACTAAAGCAGCAACTAAATGCCAATTGATATATTTTTATAAATACCACACATATATACATACTATATATAGTATATATATATGTACATATATATATATATACTTAAATAGAGTGATGAAGCCAAATTGTCAGCAACAACCACAAATAAACAAAATGAGAAATCAGGGATATTATTTTACCATACTATATACATGCATATACATATGCTTAAAGACATACATATATATATATATATATATATATATATAAATACGTTTATATTTATTTAATTTTAATTTATGTTCCCGTAAGTCGCTAAATAAAAGCTGTAATTATTTAAATGTATGCATGTAATTTTTTTTTATTGTTACAAATATTCCCTACGCTGTACTGTACGCCTTGCAAGTATTTTATTTTTAAATGAGAATGGAATGCGAAGAAGAATACATCAAATCATGTAAAATTATTCTTTATGTTTTGTACTTATTTTTTTTGTACCTAATTTTAAACAAACAAAAAAAAATTAAATACTCCCAAATATGTGCGAATCAAAAACCGTCTGCAACAAACTGCGCTCTGTAAGCAAATCATATAGGTATGCATATATATGTATTTATATATGTATGTAGTATATGTATATATATACATATATGTGTACTTTTTTTTGTTTTATTTGTTTAGATTTAAATCCATTTGTTAAAAATTATTATTGTGAATAGGGGAGCTTTATTTCAAAATTTCCCCCTGCAATTGGAGCAGACTTAGCGCAACAAATTTTTTTTCTTACTATTTAATGCATATCATAAAGAGAAAATTCAAACACATAAACACACAGAAAGAAGAAGAGGAACGCACAAAAAAATCAAATAAATTATTGAAATTGTTTCAAACCATACATTTCATGTTTGCTTTAATTATTTGCATTTTATGTTTGTATTTTATATTTCAATTGATTTTTTACAGATTCTTTCTTGATTTTCTCACCCAAAGGTTGAAGGCGACAAAAACGATTTTTTAAGCCCAATATTCTTAAAGTCAGTGCCGCCAAAATGTAAGCGGACCCTATATTTATAGGCATTATCTGTTAAGCTTGCTTCAAGGCAGCGAACACCATATTTTAAAGTGTGGACATAGTTGGCCCACATGGGGAGTCTTAATGCAAACAGGAATTCTAGAGAACTCTTGATTTTGGAGTTGGATCTATTTATAAATTTTTTGAAATTCTAACCAAATGAGTCAATATTTCTACATATAACTGGAGCGAAATTTAATTAAATTGCTAACTATTTTATAAAAAAAAATTGCTCAAAGATCAATTCAGACTTGATACACATATGGCTGAGATCGCTCATTAATTTATATTTGCGTTTAATTTGAATGTTGACAGCTTTTTGGTTGGGTTGTAGCTAAAATTTTTGGTAAGATACAGATGTAAGTGTTATTTATTTATTTATTTTATTTTTCAAGCACGTGCATCTTAGAAGTTGCTTCCTAGCTTGGAATACGAGCATTTCATGGAAAAGTAGCGAACGAATTGTTATTTTTTTCTTTCTTGTTTTGTGCTTTAATTGTTTTTGTAAAAATATATTATGTTGTTACTTTGTAAATTTGTTGTTGTTAGTTCCAAGGAAATGCTGTGCGTGTCTTCGCAATCCCGAACCCCTGTCTGAGCATACTTTTGCGACGTTTTTTGAAGAATTTGGCAGCCCTTTTGGACATGAAACGCAGGGTTACAACTGTTCATAAGCTTAGCTTATATGATACTATATACATATACCTATTATTCATTCTATTCATTTGATGGAGCAGATTAGAAGTGAAGGCATTTACGAATGCTCAGCAACTCGGGCTAAAAATTAAAGCTTCACCCTAAAATGGAAATCGTGTTTAGCAAAGTTGTCTGTTTGGTTTTATTAAAGACCTCAGACCTTGTCATCTGCTGTGCCCAAGGGCTAACAGGGTGTACTTACTTAGTTCTAGGAAATAAATGTCCAACCAAAAAAAAGCTAAGTAGAAAATAGAAAAAATGTCGATGCAAAACAGTCTTCAACTGTAAATCCCAAGAGGCTAAAAATGATAATATAAGACTACTTGTATCCTAATCCCAAGAGGCTAAGAATTATAATACAAGAGTATGTGTGTATATATAATTGAACTCTTCTGGCATTTGTTCTTTTAAGTTAAGTTGGTCCGAAATGATTTTAGGATTCGCTGAAAAGTTCAAAGCTACACTTTTCAATGGAACTATTGGTCTGAAAATTCTTTGTAGATGTGTGAAAATTGTATTCACCAACTGTCCTTTTTAAATACCTATTTGGATATTAATATAACATCTTGATGGAAGTCTGTTGTATTTCTTGATGATGTGTTGAAATCAATTGTTTTACTTTTATAATACATACTTTGATTTGGAATAGAAATTGAGAATTAAAGATGTTGTCTCCACATATTTCAAGGACACATCCTGCACAAATGTACATACATACATATACGAGGAGTATATACAATTATTGGTGTGTGTGCGAGTAAATGACAGAATGCATAGAAGCGTGTAAATTTAAATGGGCTTATATTTTCGCTGCAATCCGGGGATTTGGCTGAAAGCATTAGTGGCTCTTCAGCTCGATTCTATGTTTGTATGTACATACATATGTACACACATATATACACGTACAATTATACATACATAGATAACTCTTGCTGTGCACATTATGGAGACAATAATGTGTCCAACACGCACAACAACAAATCTTGCATACAAACGTACGTGTATGTACATATATCTGTATCTGCCAAATGCTTATAAAAATGAAGCGAAGACAGAGCAGAACATGTGTGCGGGTTATGTTTGCCGAGACTGTGTGTGTGTGTGCCAGCAGGAACGGAGCAGTAAATAGCCAAACAAAGAATAAAATAAATGTGGAAGACCAACAAATTGTACACGAAACCAAAAGTGCGCGCTCTCCATGCCACGCTATGCTGCGAGTATCTCAAAGATACGAAAAGACAGTGAGAAGCAGTCGTTGCGCATGCGCAACAACAGCTACAGCGGCAGAAGCGGCAGAATCAGCAGCAGCAGCGTCAGCGGCTATGTCATCATAACACAACAGCGTTGTGATGTTGTTGTTATTGTTGTCTACGTTGTTGTATCTGTATCTGTGAATTTCTACTTACTTTACTTGCCTTAACGCGTTTGTTCTTGTTGTACGTTGTTTTTTCTTACTTGGTTTGTTTGTTGAACATAAAACTGGTTTCCTGTACATGCATACGCACACACACACACACACCAACATACATACATTTATATGCAACAACAACAACAACTCGGACACCACTACAATAACAATCTGTAATTTTAATTTTCGGCAGTTTTTTTTTCGGCAA